GCCATGTAGTTTTAGGCACTTGGGATACATTAGTGTAAATACTGCTTTACCTGCTTATATTGTAGTAGGAGGCAGCTGATGATTAATGATAAACATAGAAAATATTGCTATGGAGAAAAAAAAGGAGGTTGGATAAGGTAAATGAGGCTGGAGTGAACAGAAAGTGGGGGGGGGACAGGCTGGAGTATTAAATAGGATGGTAACTGAACACAAATTTGACAAGTGAACCAAGTGAATATCTTATCAAAGAGTATTCTAGGCAGTGACAACAGCTAGAGGAAAACTTAAAAGAAGTAGACGAGGCAAAAGAGATCATGAGGGACTTGGAGGTCATTTGAGTTTAGCTCTGAGAAAAATGGATTTTTTAAGGTCAAAAATGCTCCAAAGTTGTTGTTTTTTAAAAAGATTTTATTTATTTATTTTTAGAGAGAGGGAAAGGGAGGGAGAAAGAGAGGAAGAGAAACATTGATGTGTAAGAGAAACATCAGTTGGTTGCCTCTCGCACAGCCAACTGGCATGTGCCTTCATGGGACTCCACCAAGAGACCTTTTGGTTTGTAGCATGACGCCCAATCCACTGAACCACAACAGTCACCACAGGATTGTGACTAGTGGAGTGGTATGATCTGACTAATGTTTCAGGAGGCTTGCTCTTTATGCTGTGTTGGGAAAAAGACTATAGAGCTATAAGGAAAAAAAGCAGAGATCTGTTGGGAAAAAACGTAGAAATGCCAACCATTCATGTATATTTTGAGCAGAAGAGCTATAACGATTCCAAGCATTGTGAGGTAACCAGATATCTAAGCAATACTGAATCTGCAGTAAAGTCTAGTGATATGACTGTTGTAGTTTATGATTTTAGTTTTGATATGCCTCCTTTGAAGATTACTAGTAAGCGGTCCTTACTCGTGTGAAAATGAAAATCCCCAGACTCACAGGCTTCAGAAGCTTGTGTTCCTATAGGAAATGAAAAAAGTACTTGCATTTTGGAATTACTCTGTGGCTCATTAAGACCTTGAGAATTCAGTGAAGATAGCTTATTACTTACAAAGTTAAATAAGAACACAGTTTTTACTTCAAATATGTTCATATATTTGAGGGCTATGCCCAAGTAAAACATAATGCCATACATGACACAGTGAGATATCATTAAGATTTTAGGTAAAGTAGTATACCAGAATACACAAAACATCTCTAAGGTCCATACTGTAGTAAGATCTAACAATAGATATTTTGAAGTTATTTTATTTTCTTTAGTTCTGAGAATAGCAATTTTATATTAAATTGGGCCTACAACTTTGGAAATTAGTCCATTTAAAATTCTATGTGATATTCTAGCTATATGATATGTAACAACCTTTTATTTTGAAAAGGTGTATGAATCAGGGTAGAAGATGATTTTAAGATATTTTCACTCCTAAGGATTCTCTTTAATAGGAAAGAGACGAATAATTGTAGTAAAGAAACATAAAAAGGAAATACAGTAAGCGTAAGCTCACTCCTGCTTCAATTCTGTAACAGAGGTGTCTCAGTGATACCTGCCCATGTACATTGTATTTCATATGCCGGCATTGTCTCTAGGCTGGTGAGAGCCAGCGGGGGTGCAGGCAGACACGGCTGCAGGGAACCAGCATGCTCTGTGACTGGTGGAAAACTGTACAGGGCCCAAGATGTGACTCTCTACTGTAAAGGAAGCCAAAACTGCCCCGTTTGCACTTTTAAGTTCATATTTTATGTACTCAAAATAACTATACTATTTTAACCTCAGAGTAATATGTGTATTCTGGCCTCTGTTTCTGCTTGGGTTGATAGTTGGCTGGAGGATGGAGGTGGTGTTACTTCTTTAAATCTGGCTCAGAAAAAGTTGGATAAGGTAGAATATTCCACCCATCCTTTTTGATTATTTTTGGTTCTCATCTTCTCCCTTTTAAAGGAGCTCTTAGCTATTTTAGTGGCACAAAGGGTTTCCTTGGCTGAAGTCATAAACATGTATACTTACTGGTACTTGTCATTACATATGAGTAGAAATGAAAGTGTGACTTAGAAAACTCAACTTTTCAATTTTAGGTTAAAAAAAGTTCAGTCTCCCCAGAAGTGTTCTTTTTGCTCATTTTCCACTTCCCAGTTTCTCCTCCATTATCTATTTTGCACTGCACATAGTGTAGTTCTCAACCTTCACTATCCATTGTTCATTTGGAAAATTAAAAAAATATACCCATGACAAGGGTCTTAACCCCAGATCTAGGGCTGGATCCAGGTGGTATTTATAAAAAGTGACCCAGGTAATATTAATGTGCAGCTAGGGTTGAAAACCACTATGGTTTCAAGAGTGAAAATACCTAGGTTCTAGTTGTAGTGCTGCCATTTACTAGCTGGCTGATCTTAGTACCCAGTTTCCCATTGGATGATGAGATTGGATTAGAGATTTACAAAAATTCTCTAACTCTAAAAAAAAGCTGAGTCTATGGCCATACCACCTTGAACGCACCCGATCTCGTCTGACCACGGAAGTTAAAAACAAGATTAACTAAAATGAGATTCGTATACCAAGTTTGCTCAGCTCCAAGAAGATGAAAACCGAATCATTTGGAGTCTGAGCGTTAGGTTTGAATCACGTGAGTAATAATAAAATAAACACAAACTTTCCCCTCTTCCCAATTACAAGGCGTGTGAGAAAAGAAAAGCAAGCTCCCAAGAGACTTCTAGGGCTGCTTTGTCTGTCCCCAGCTCTCTTAAATTGGTAGCTAGTCAGATGGTACCAGGGGACAGAGGAAGGCGGGGCAGAGCTGACTCTTCAAGAAGGTAAATATAACATAAACCCCAAAGGCTTTACACTACTCATCAGACTATAATCTGGTCTGATATTCAACAGGCGAGTGTGGAAGGCGGAGTTGGGGTGTGTTCACGTACGGGCACCTTCCCCCACCTACTCCTGTCATCCACTGCGCTGGCCGAGAAGCACCCAGAAGCGGGGACGAGCCCTGGAGACCCACCCCCAGCCAGGTCCATCCCAGCCCGCTCCCTGCGCTGCCCCCACCAGGAGGGTAGTCGGACGGCACTCAACCGAGCCAGCAAAGCGGGTTTGCCGGCTCGGCCTCCTCCACCGAACGCACCTCCAGACTCCCACTGGACTCTAGTCCCATCCCCTAGCTTCTTTGCCTCGTCTCTCTAGACAGGGCCCGCCAAAAAAGGCTAAATACCCGTAGACCTAAGCCCTTGGCCCCAGCGCCGCTCACACTCAGCCTCCGGATCATTCTCGGTCCCTGTACCCTGACAGCCTACTACCTCCTCCCGGTCCTCACACCGCTCCCAGACAACCCTAGCTCTCCGGTTTCATCTCCCCACTTCCCTACGCTCTCTCTGACGTCTTCCCCTCAGCACCTCTTCGGGCTTTTTTTTTTTTTTTTTTTTGCCGCCAACCCTCAGTTTTCCAGAACTTCCTCACTGCACCCCGCCCCTTCCCGCCTGGCCCCAGGTCCTTGACATCACCTGAGCTTCCCACTCTCTCAAGACTTCCCTTCTCCACTCTGGTAACCCTTTGTGCCCCCCACCCCTGACATCCCAGGGGCTTCCCCCAGGCCTACGCTCTCCCTCCTTCCAGAACCCCGCCCACGACCTCAGGAGCCCCCCCACCCGCTCACACCTTTACCTCCCAGCCTGACACCCGGACGCACACCTCACCTGCTATTCCTTTCACAGACTGTGGGTTCCCCTAACCCCTGATCACACTTCGCCTATGGATCTGATACTCCCTCCACTTCAGTCCCCACGCTTTCACTTCTTCACTTTCCGACTTGACCCACTGGGTGCCCCCAACTACCCGGCTCACACCCCTGACTCCTCGGAAGCCCCCTCCCGCGTTCTCATTCTCCACACCCCCGCTCTTGGCCCGCCTCTTCCCTCCTAGCCTTCCTCGCGAGGCCCCAGCCCACAGATCGCCCTCGGCAGGGGTGGCCGCCGCCCGCCCCGCGCCCGAGGTGCCGGTGCCTGTGCCTGGGCTGCCGGGAGGTGACGCGGTCCCCGCGGGAGGAGCCCGGGAAGCGGAGGGGAGGAGGCGCGGGCAGCGGCAACGGGCGGCGGCGGCAGCGGCGTAGGGAGCGAGCGGGCCCTAGGCGCTGACTCCACGGACCTAAGGGGTGACGGCGGCTGAGGGACCCCGAACCGGCGAGTGATGAGGGAGGACAGGCGCCCGACCCTGCGACGTGTCGGAGGTCGCTGGGATCCGGGCGTTGGCAGCCGAGGGGCCCTGGCCTCGGGATTCTCCGCCGCTAGCCCCTGTCATCCCTTCTCCGCTTTCGCTTCTCCGCTCTAGCCCGGAGGGGTCTCCGGCGGCTCTCCCCGGCCCCGCGGCCATCTCCCTTTCTTTTCTGGAGGGATCTTTCCTCCACGGTGCCTGGGAGCCCTGTGACGCGTCAGTCGTCGGGACGGCTGAGCTGCTCCTCTAGGAAATTAGCCCCTGCTTCCTCACCACCTTCTCTGCTCCCACCTCGGTGCCCCTGCGGCTCGCGGGACGCTGCCTCCGGGCGCTCGGAGCGAGTTGCCGGGACTCCCCTGGGGAGCTGGTTCGCGGCAACCCCTTTTCCTTCCGAGGGGGGCGAGGTGGCGCGCGCGTGCCTCGCCCCCGCCGCGGCCGGACACACTCGCGCCCTGGCCCGCGCGCCGCCCTCGCGCCCGCTCCCTCCAGTCACCCCACCCTTAGTCGTCCCCGCCACCTTACTCCACCACCCTCCCCCGCCGCTTCGCGCACACCGCGTCCCGGCCCGGCCTCACGCTCGTCTCTCAACCCAAACCGCTCACTTGCCAGCCCTTCGCCCCCGGAGGCTGAGGAAACATTTCCCGGAGCGCACTCCTCAGCCCGCCCTCCCCCCACATCGCTCGCTCTCCCCTCCCCCCGCTCTTTCTTTCTTGGGGGAGGGGGGCTGTCGCCTGGGATTGAAGGCCATTGATTTGTATGTATTTGTCCCGGCGCCGGAGGCTGCCCCAGCCGCCCGAGCGGGTGCCGCCACCGCTGCCGCCAGTGGAGTTGCCTCCCAGCTTCCCTAGAGTGGTTAGGCTCCACCAAACATGTCGGCTCCTATCGGGCCGCGGGGCCGTCCGGCTCCCACCCAGGCGGCCTCTCAGCCGCCTCTGCAGCCCGAGATGCCCGACCTCAGCCACCTCACGGAGGAGGAGAGGAAAATCATCCTGGCTGTCATGGATCGGCAGAAGAAAGAAGAGGAGAAGGAGCAGTCAGTGCTCAAGTAAGGACCCAGCTCCATCTTCCCGCCTCCCTCCCTGCCCTCCGCCCCCACGGCGGCTGCCCTGCGGCCGCCTGCGCGCCCGGGATCGCCTCCCTCCCTCCCGCCGGTGGCGCCTGGCCCACGAGGGCTGCGGCCGGCGCCGGTGGCCGGGGCTGCTTTCTGGGTGTCAGGGCACGGGGGTGTGTGTCGGGGAGAGAGGCGCGAGGCCGGCTGAAGCGAGAGTGGCGAGTCTTTGGGCGTTGTAATTTTCCCGAGCGTCCTTCATGATATCCCCGCGAGCAAGTTCGGCTCCCGTGGCCCCGCCGGGGCGGGGGCTGAACCCCGGCTCCGCGCGTGCCTTCTTCTATGCCGCCGCCCCTGCGTGGAGGCAGTGACTGGGGCAATGCATCCAATATGGCCGTGCACAGGTGCTCTTAGTCCGGACCCGGGCGTAGGCGCGTTGGCCGGGGATGCGGACGCCGCCGCGGGCCGCACGTCCGGCGCTTCCACGGGGCAGCTCTGCCGCCAGCGCTGAGAAGAGCAGAGCTGGCCACGGTCACCGCGGGCAGGAGGGCAGCAGTGCGGACGAGGGCCCTGTGCTCTGCTGTGCCTCGGGTGGGTGTGCGACCGCCGCCATCTTCCAGCCCCTCCCCCTCGGCGCGTTCTAACTAACACCCTGCACTCTGCTGCTCTTCCTGTTGGCAACTAGTAAATCTATTTAATCCTGACGAGACTCCAGTTCCTACCATTACTGCAGTTTGGGATGCTTCCTTACCTTGTGAAGTTCTATTCGTGCTCACGGTCTAGGCTGCCCGGATTTGGCCGAGGGTGGGAGTGAAAGCAGCCGCCAGACAGCGGTTTAGCGGCGGTGTAACTTCAGCACTAGGGAACTGTCCAGACCGATAGCTGTGGCGTGGAGTTGCTTTCTTGTTAGTTTCTTGTAAATGTTTTACGGTGATTTGTTTTCTCAGTTACTGGGTGAAAGAGATTGTGCAGAAGATGTGTAACCTTTTTATGTTCTTCCAACTGAACTTTTCTCTTCTTACTTGAATTATTCACTAAGAGGTTAACTTGCACAGTTTATACGCCAAAATGGAATGGCTCTTTTGTGTTGTTAAATATACTTTCTTATGTCCTCCACAGAAACACACAATTGAAAGTGTGGAGTTCCTCTGTGAAGGAATTAACACCCTAACCTCTAATCATGTAAATTTTAAAAACAGGTTGTTGAATTCAATGTTCTTTAATACATTTAACAAGTTTCTGTCTATACGTATATTTCCATACTTTAACAACATTATTATTTCAGTTTATGATAAAAGTATCAATTATTTGTACGTTTGAGAAAAATATCATCAAAAAATATTGAAGGACTAAAGAGCAAATGTATTTCTGACTTGTTAACTGAAATAAGAAGAATGGCTTCTTCAAAGATTATTTCTGGGCTCAAGTCCTTTCTGGGACTGTGATTTATTAGTAGCTATGGAAATGAAAAAAAGATAAAGAGATTTAAGTAGATTATTGCAACTAATAGAAGAATAGAGCATTATTTTTAAAAGCTTTTTGAGCGTACTCCTAACTTCACTTTACTGTATATACTTAGAATACCAAGCTTTTGATGACTTAGATATTTAGATATATTAATATATATTTTTACTATATTGTTATAAAATTAGTATTGCCAAAGTGATGCTCAAATAAAACATAGTTTTATTTCTTTGACCCAGATATTTAAATGTAGAATGTTTTTTATTTATAGTATGTTAAGTAATAGTATTTATTGGCAAATTCATTATAGTTTCAAACCTATTTATTCTAATGAATAGAAATTAAATGAACTTTTGAGTACTGAATTAAGAATTACTGAAAATGAACAATATATTATACCAGAAAAATGTTGTGAAAGGGTTGGTTACTCAGGTGGATACACATTAATAAATTACACTTCTATATAAACCTGCATGCTGTCAGTACATATAATGTCTGATCATTCATGTTTACAATTTAGGTAGAAACGAACATTCTCTAAACATAAACAGTCTATGAATTTACATGGATGAAAAATCCATTCATATTTATTTTAAATATATATATATTTGCATTTTTTCCTAACAGTCTTGGAAAGGGTCTTAGCTCAAAATGGCCTACATGGTTTCAGAATTATTTTTGTTTGCATTTTAACAATAAGTTATTTGGAGGTTAAAACCATAATACAGTGTAAATGTTCTTTAAAAGTGCTTTTGTCTTTAATGAAATAATTGTAGGCAAGGAAAATGTAGAAAACAATAGACTTCATAATAGAATTATAATGAGAAATGAAGCATTTTCAAGAATTTGACAATTTATTAAATAATATATTATCAATATTGATATTAAGTTTTACATTGTTATATGTAAGAAAAAATACTAATATTCTTCAATGGTTACTATTTCCCATTAACTTTGAAGGGGCAAATATCTGGTTATGACTATACTATTCTTTGTTTCTTTTTAGTGATATCTATTTAATTGTATGTTACCATCTGTTCTGAAAGGTCCTGGACAAAGAGAAATAAACTGAAATTCAAAATCTTATCTGCTATCTTTTAACAATTGTGTTAGAAAAAGAGTTTGATGCGTGAAAAATTGAAACTTGGATGAAAATATTTTTGCATGATCTGTGAGTTTCAATATTCATGTTAAGTATTCATACAAAGTGGGTGTGCATTACAAGATTATATATTGGAGTACATGAAATATTAAAACTTATATTTACATTTCTATTTTATTCAAAAAGAAAGAAATTAAGCTTTACTGATACTATATAGATTCACAATATTAAGATGCATATAATTTACAAATAAATATTTATGTAGTAGGAGGTTCATGCCTGAGATATTTTTAATAAAGGAGGTGAGCGGTGATAAAACAGATTGAGACCACTATAGTAATTTCTTGCCTTAGGAGCTGGAACAATTAAAAAACTGTATTTATTGTTAGCAATTTCTTCCAAGCCTAGCTAAACCTATCACTGTCAAGTGAGCGAGACACTAAAATTTTGGAAGCATTTTTATTTACCTAAAGATCTCTAAATAGATCAATAGTTACTTTTGTTTATCCTTACATGAATTCCATTAAAATTTTTAGTTTGAATAACTCAATCTACCAGTAAATTCTAGAGTGCCCTTTTACTGATTAATGTTTTTAAATCTTGTCTTTCAAGACTAAACTCCTTGAGGGCAAGAATAAAAATGTACCCTTCTTTGGAGTTTGCATTTTACAGTATCCTTAACACCTGTGCATAGTAGTTACGTAATAAATAAATGTTGATTTAACTTGTGATAATGTCAATAAAGTAGTTTACCATTTTTGTTGGGAAAGTGGAGTATGATTTTTTTTTTTGAAAGAAAAGCATAATGAAAAGGTTTCTATTTTCCAATGAGGCTTTTTTTGTTTGTTTTTTTGGTGTGATACTATGGAAAAATATGAGGAACACAAACCCACTGAAATCAATAGAAAGGTATTCATTCAGTAAATATTTATTGAATTTCTACTGTATGCATGTCATAGTCTTTCGGATGAGATGTTTTTCTCACAAAGTAGAAATTACATGTTTCTTGACCTGAAAATTATCTTTTCGATCTCAGTTTAGATTTTCTGTTAATGTCAAAGGGATAATTTGCTCCTGATATAAAGGAAAATAATAAAAAAAGGTCCCTGATAGATCAACTTAATAATTTAGCTTATATTGAAAACAGGAGAGCAGTTCTACCTATTTTAATAACTCAGTTTTAAAAGTACTTTCCAAAGTCAATTTGTAATCTTCTTTATTTAATAGGTAATAAATAAGCGGTACAAAATTTCTTATGGTTTTTTAAGAATTTCTAAACATTTTCCCTAATCAGAGGCAACTACTATTGCCAGCTTATTGTAGTCCACCAGAAAATTCTATATATAGGAATAGATAGGAATATATATGAAATATTTTGTGTCTGTATATTTGTATATGTGTGTGCACATTCGTGCATGAATTTGTGTGTATAAACATAGAAAACACAAATGTATCCTGAAGTTTACTCTTTAATGAACACTTACTAATTTACAGCTACCTATTCATTTTAATGACTGCATAATATTCCATTTTATGAATATTCTCTAATTTCTTTAACTAGTACTATATTTTTGGATAAGTTAATTCTAATTATTTTGCTATTTGGAAAAACACTTAAATATCTTTGTATACATACCATTTTCAGACATGTGTGAGCATATCACAAGGATATGTTTTTAGGAATAGAATTATGGTCAAAAGGTCAATATATTTTGTATTTTAATAAATATTGCCAAATTTACTTTCATAGAAGAAGTATAGATAAGTAGCATATACTGGGGGACTTACCACATCATTGCCGACTCAGTGTGTGATAATCTTTGCCAATATTTTGGTGAAAAATATGCCATTGTAGATTTAATTGCTGTTTTCTCAGTGAGGGTGAGAGCCTTTTACATTTGTATAGAGCCTTTTGTATTTCTTTTTCTGTTGGTTATTTTTAGCGATCTGTAGACGCTCTCTGTCTTTTGTTTTGTGACCTTGTTTGTGCTTTTTTTTTACTGGTCAAGATTTTAAAAAATGTATTTGAATTTATTACTTTTTGTTTTATGGCTTGGGGTTGGTGATATTCTTAGAATGATCTTTCTCATTCTAATATTAAAAAAAACCTACCATATTTTCTTCTTATAGCTAAATGAAAATTTAAGATCATGGCATGTCAGATAAATGATGCAATGTAATCATGCAGACTTTTAAATAAAAATTGTTATACATGTAAATAACCATAGCCGTTACCATTGCCAGAATTGAAAACCTGTATTTTTTAAGGACTCAAAATGCATTCTAAAATTTTAATTGGCATTTTTATAAAAAAGTACCCAATAAGTTCTTTATATATATTCTATTTTAAAGTAACTGGGACAATTAAGTAATACTTTCTTGTTGTCAGTACTGATAAAGAACTGATTATACTGTGTGATTAAGAGGCAGG